GCACCCAGAACAGCGTTCCCCCCCAGCGCTCCTTATCGTTTGCTACTTGAAGAGAGGTTATCCTTTGTGTGTTTGCTATACGCGAAATGAATATGCAAGGGCAAGCTCTCTTCGAGGAGCAAATGCTGCCTGGAAGCAAGGCTGGTGGCCTGGGCCTAGCAGAAGGGCACCGTCACTCCAGGGTAAGTAAATGCATGCGGGCCACTGCGTATGGGCGGTTTCTGCCTCTGACTTTCTGGATCTCGTGCATGCTTCTGAGGACGTTCTTGAGACAATAGGGAGCTTTCTCCAGAACACTCTGACAGCTCTTCCCCGTGTGGTGTGCATGTCAGCTCATTGTTCAAGGGCGTCAGCAGCAAGCTGGTGCCCATTTAGATGCGGGTCATATGCCCTACCCATCCCCCATAGCCAATCCATCCTTACAGTCACCTTTAGGGCTTCCCGTCCAATTAAGGGGAAGGGGGTTGATGGGTGTCCAAAGTAAGGATGGCCCCAGAGGCTACCAAGACCATGAAGCCTCCATCCCCAGGTGTCCACTCTGCCTATAGTGTCACAGCATGAATTACTCATAAGGTTGTTTAGAGAGAGCTGGTGTGGGGGTTGGGGTGGGGTCACATTTTCCCTTTGGTGAGCCTTACACTGGGTGGGTGTTAGAGTGATAACTCTCTCTGCTGTGGTTATCTGAACTCACCAGTGCCGACAGAAGAGCCAATGGTCTCAGCACTGTTCTGGTTTGGGGAGGGAGGCGGAGGCTCTCAGAGAGTTGGTTTCCTGGGTTTTCTTCTTTCTTGAATGATGCATGTTGCTGTGGGTTCTAATCCTGTTCCTTCTACGACCATCTGGAAGACTGCGGAGGCTGCGGCTGTGGGCACAGATGGAGGTTCTCTTCCCGGGGTGGTTTTGCAGGCTCTAGAAGGATTGCCAATCATTCTCCATTGCTTGCTGTCAAGTTGAGCAGGATTCCCCGGCCTTTTGGAAGATCATCCTGTCTTGGAATGATGCTGAGAAGTAAACCAACTTCAGGGCTGGGTCCCAGTGTGCACAATTCAGTTGAGGCTTGCCTCCCAGCCCCTGTGCTCGGCTCAAGTCATCTGCTCTGCGGTTTCCCTGGCCCCATCCTCACCCTTCCCGTTCTGATCTCTGGTACCTGATGAGCAGATGTACTCTGTATTTTCACTTTATTGATGGTGAATATATAGGGAGAGGCACTTATTTTCATACCAAACTCTGTCTGGGAAGCACTCCAGCCCTGCTCCATCTTTGGGAAGGGTCTCCGGCTCCAGTGTGATTTTAGATCCTCAGGTATATTCCATCTCTTGGTTCTGGGATGGGGACTGTGGCTGAGATGCTAGTCTTAGGTCCTCCTTGTCCCTTGGTGCTTGATTCTTCTCCTCTAGAGGGCACCCTCAGGTTTGTGCCATGGTGTTGGGGGTTGGGGGCGGGAGTCATGCCTATTGCACCTGCATTGAGTGTAATAGTCCAACAGTGGCTTGTTCTTTAAAGGACAGTGGCACACAGACCTGACATCTGTCTGTAGCAAGCCATCTCCAGAGTCTTCCTGCTTACAGCATAAACCTTAGAAGGGAAACTGTGATGTTGGGCTATCACAATTGTGATACCAGTGATGGAGTGTCACAGGGACTCACTTTTATTTTGAATGGTTTCAGGCCTGATCCACCAATCTCCCAGTGGGGATGTCCTGGGCGTGGTACCTGCCTTTGGGAAGAGGCTGAAGTTTGTAGCCCCTGCTTCCTATCGAGTGGTCTTCTGTGACTGTATCTATAACAGAGGGAGGCATCTATAACAACCCCCCACCTAATGAAGCAGACCAGCTTGCCAAAGAAAAGTGAGTGTTTCTCCTGGTCATAATCCACTTCTCACCCTTAGCAGCTACTGCCTGTTCTCTGGGGAAGCGGTCCCAAAGGAGGAAAATGGTTCCCTCCATCATTCAGTGGCATGTCGAGTTTGACTCCTGTATAGTATTGACTTTCTCCTAGTTTTGTCCTATACTAGTGTCTGGCAGAGTTAGGGGGACAGGGTCTGGTCCTAGGAATGACACTCATGTCCATGACTCTTAGGGAGGCAGGAAGGACCTTGGTTTTATCTCTTGTATGAATTCATTGGGTCCTCTTGCCCTCTGTGTGCATTGTACCACCAAATGGTCCATCACTAAGGGAAAGACTGTGGTCCTAGCCAGATAGTCCCTCAGAAAGCAGGAAACTGAGTTCTGTGTTTCCTGAGAGATCTAGGAAAGGTCCCCCCTATGTCCCAGCCCAAGCTCCTTGGATGGAGAGCTGACCAGTGGGCACACATCTGGCAGGTGGTGTTTGCCACCTGGTCGGCTGATTATGAATCTCCCATCCCTCCCCCAGGCTAAGTCCCGGGCGACGAGGCTGACCCTGTGAATGCTAGAGCGGAACCTGCCCCATGCTATTGTTTGGTACTTAAAGCGAGGTTGCCCTTTGTATATTCGGTTTATTGACATGGAATATACAAGGGCAAGCTCTCTGTGAGTATCAAACGTGATCTTGGATGCAGTCCACACTCAGCGAGGGATGTGGTATGTGTGTGCATGACCGTGTGTATCTGTCTTGCGTGTGACCAACTGCTTCCTGGGTCTCCATTTTGCACTGATGGCTTTATGGTTGCAAGATGACTCCAGGAAAGGCCTTGGGAACATCTCCTCTCCTTGTTCTGTGTGGGTGGGTTCCAAAGCATGCACTGTGTGTATAGCCTGGGTCCCTGCTTCCCAGGTGGGCAGTCCCCAGCCCAGGCTGATGGCCAAGTTTGTGCTGGTGTGGGCCGTGGTTTTTGTTTTGTTGTGTTTCTTGGTTTTCTTTGATGTTCTGTCGTGACGTAGTACCTGAGTGTGCATGTTCTTGCTTGGTGTGTGTGGCGTGGTCCGCTAACCCTCAGCATCTAATTCATTCCCAGGACCCCACCTGGAAGACATAGCAAGTCCACCCAAGGCAGTGGTCTTCCTTTCCAGGCCAACCTTTGGTACTTGGAGAGTGGTTATCCCTGTCCTCTTCGTTTCACTCATGTCGAATCGTACAGGGTCATCCACTTTTTCAGTATCAAGTGCGCAGACTCTGCAGCCTGGCTTCCTGCGCCTGGATCCTGCCTCTGACACTTCCCATCGCACATCCTTGGACAAGGATGTCGTCGTGCTATGCTCGTAGTCTCATGCGTCACATGGGAGTCACGTTGGGGTCTCCTGCATATGGCTACGGGGACTGGGAGAGATCAGGCTTTCATAGGGCTAAGCACAGAGCCTAGGCTCATCACTTCTTATGTGGCAGCCAAAACTCTTGTGTGCTGCGAGCTGACTAGTGGCAGCTGTGGTGGTGTTATCCAAACCTCTCCTTGGATTTGGGAGTCAATATCGAGACAGAATTTCTCTGTCAGGTACACGAGTGGGTGTTGGAGCTTAGAGTTTCTGCTGGATTTACAATGAGACCAAGGAAGCTTGCACTGTTCTGTAGTGAAGCCATTCCAGCAGTGGCTTCTGGAACAGGATACCCCATGAAGTGGGGTTAGCAGGGCCACCAGAATGCTTGCTTCACTTAGGATGACAGTACCTGGATTCTTGACCCCAGCCACCATCACCCTTGCGAGGTTGCCATGCTGAGTGGGGAATGGGTTCTATGGGTGCCTCACCTACCTGGTGCTTAGAGGAGCCGTCAGTAACACATGCATGGTGCATGTGTGTGTTGTGTGCAGCCAGGTGCTAGGAGCGGTGGCCACTCCCAGGAGGCCAATGGATGCTGGTGTTCCTGCCCTGCTACTGTTTCATACTTGAAGAGAAATTATCCTTGGTGTGTTCGCTTTTTTGGATGAATCATACAAGGACAATTTCTTTTCGAGTATCAAATACTACCCCGGTGGACTTCCTGGATGCCAAGATAGTTCTGTAAGAAGTGCATGGGTTAATCTTCCTTGGGCAGAGGGCAAGAGAATGAACAGCTGGTGTGGAGTGGGTGCACTGGGCTCCCACCTCAGGACCTCACCCAAAGGATCCAGGGGCTCCTAGGTGGTGCCACCTACATGGCTTTGGTCATGGTAGGATAGCACAGCTTTCATGACTTGGAAAACCCTGATTTTTTAAAATATGACATCGATCTCAGACCCCTGCCTCTTGCCTGAGAGTGTGACTGTCTCTCCAAGTGTGTCACATTGAGTGACACTGACCTACTAACCATGGAAGACCATGCTAGAGGAGCCCCTGGCTTTGGAGGAGATGCTGAGGTTTTCTCAATGCTGTTGCTCTCCGGCACACTTAGAGAACGGCTGTCCATAGTGTGGTCTCTGTATTTATGACGATTGATGTTGGACAACCATTGTTTCCGTTATCTGAATTTGCTTCAGAAGGGTGCAAGAGCACAGTGCTGACTTCAGCCGGCAGACACTGGTGCCCGCACCAGTAGAGGGTGACTTTGTTGAGGCTCCTTCTTAACCAATGCAGTGACCTCAGAATGCAACCCCCTCCCTGTGTGCTCTCACACTGACAGCTTTGAGGTGTCAATAGCTTTGGTGGCTTGGTTCGTCATGCTTGGTCTAGAGGATACTGGGGGATAACTCACCTGTCTGTTCTTGCTCTTACGTCTTAGCTGGGAAGAACTCCTTGGGGCGGTACTGGGGTCAAGCATCTCTCTAGCTAGCAAGAGCTTGACCAGGGGCTTCTAGGTCCAGCACCCACTCTCCTTAGCATGCATTCTGAGCACAGACTTCCTGTGGGAGATATAGGTGTTAATGCGGACACTTCCTGCCACTGCTGCTTTAAGTCACTCTCTGTTCTATGGCTTATTTGTGGTGGACACCACATGGCTTCTTTTGGGCTGACCTTATCTTAGGCATATCTGATATCTGGACTAAGACACTGTGGTCAACAGCACACCTTTTCACCTCATCCCAGCGTGTGTGTGTGTGTGTGTGTGTGTGTGTGTGTGTGTGTGTGTGTGTGTGTGTGCGTGTGTACATTCATTCAGCGTGTGCATGGCTGTATAAATTGTTGGCTAGAGTAGGGTTTCTCAAACTTCTCAGTGCTGCTAAGATATTCATCACCTAGGGATCTTGTTAAAAAGCAGATTCTGATTGAGGGACAAGATTCTGCATTTTTAGCAAGCTCTCAAGTGATGCTCATGCTGCCGATCTGTGGACAACACACATAGCTGCTGGGGGCTGGAGATGATGCTGTGTGTTACTTGTGGCGTGTGTGTCCATCTCCCCCATCATGAGTGCACATCCTAGAGCCAATATGCTACATTTGGCGATCAACCTGTAGTCAATTGTGAAAGGCCACCTTCTGCACAAATGTATGTGATTATTCTTTCAAGTCAAATCATGCCTCCATGGGCTTCTCAGATGTAAGAGCTCCTTCAGGGAGCGGCTGCCCATGTCAGCCTCCTGAAAGAATTGTCAGCACCAGGTCCGCAGACTAGAGTGTTATTGATGACTGAGACCATCTGACTCTGTAACCCTCCATTTCCAGTTAATCCTAAGGAGCAGTTCCTGGAGTCACAGCTGCTGGGGCCAGAGGAATCTTACCTGCAGACAGCAGCAACACTACACGTTATCAAAAGAGGTATTATCCAAGATGGCATTGCCCCTCTATGATATTCCTCCAACTTCTGGCTTCCTGTCGTCCACCTTGTCTCTCAGGGAGAACCAGAGGAGGTGTCCTTATTTTCTAAACTGACTTACCTTATGGAACCTCCTGACCCTGGCTCTAGTTGGTACGGGTTTTACTATCAGGCCGGCCAGATGTGGCCCTGGAACCAATGTGTAACAGTGAGTGGCTGGTGTCATCTCATATGCTTTCTTTCAGGCTGTGGGTATGCACCTCTCTGACGAGGGATTCAATTCATCATGGGAAGAATCCCCTGAAAGCAAAGATGGCAGTGGGCAAGAGGCTCTGGTTTTCCTATCACAACTACCTGGAGATGTTTGAGGTCATCAATGTTATGTTTATTTATTCGCCACAGCTAAAATACACAGTTTAAAAACTTCTTTGGAATATCAATCTCCAAATATCAAACCTTTTTGAAGGTCCTCCCCCGTGAGAGATGTGAGATTGGGCACCTTGTGTGAGCCTCCAGTGGGCCCTGCATCTCCTTCAGGACATCGCTTGGATATTTTGCTGATGAGGAAGAGCCCTGGGAAACCTGGTCCTGCTTACAGGGAACTCCATGTGTTTTTCTGATGACCTTCGTTCAATCTGCTCCACCAGGTTTCAGTGCCAGGATGCACTCAGTGGGTGAGTTGACCCCAGGACTGCAGCCCTCCCCAGTCCAGAGCATGTGGGCAAAATCCTGTCACAGTGGGTAGGCAGTGGGGAGACAAGTAGTCACAACCTCTGTAAATACTCCCCTGGGAACAGTCTGGTTTTCAGGGTCACGTCCGACTTAAGAACACCCCAGGAATTCAGACTTGATTTCTCCCCAGGTATGGGAAAGGCAACCCAACTTGGCCCTGTTCTTTTTCTTTTTTTTTCTCACTGAGGTCACTGTCCTTGGTGTCCACTTCCTGCTCTGGTAGACACCAGTGAGGTGGAGTCAGTGCCAAGATGGAGCTTCCTGCACTGCTGCTTGGCTCTGGAAGAGACTGGATTTCTTTCTTTCCTTGCTGGTGGAGATCGCACCCAGCCGGTGAGTAGATCCTAGCTTCCAGGGTGTCTTTTGATTCTGGGAAAGGAAGGCTGGCCCCATAACCCTGTTATAAGGCAAGACACTGTTCTCTGGGTCTCTCACCTTCAGAGATGATACCTATGCCTGATGGGAAGCCCAGATCCCGCCTTCTGGATGATAGTCCCTTTGCGATGACCAGTCCTGTTGAATCCTTGAATGGAATTGGTTCAAGATGGATGCCAGCTTCATACAAGGGCACCATCAGACTTGGCCCAAGGTACGTGAGAGTAGGGTGGGCCCAGGTAAACCCAGGTGCTAGGGATGTCTTTGACCCGTGGCCCATACACCTCATCTTCAGGACACCTCTGAACTCAGGTGGTTTCGTCTCCCTTCCTACCAAGTGACTTCTTGGGTTGCTCCCAGCCCTAAAGAAGTAGTGGGGTCCAGGCACATGAAGACAGTTTTCCACCCAGTTCGCTGTCTTTATTTTTTTTCTCCCATTTATTGTTTGAGTTGTATTTTTTATAGACAGAGTCTAGCCTGGAATTCACTGTAAAACCAAAGCCAATCCTCCTGCCTCAGGCTCCCAAATGCTGTGACTTCAGGGTTGGGCTATGGCATGCTAAGAGTTTACTTGTTTTAATGTACTTTATTTTTTTATTTTTGTTTTTGTGTGTGCCTGAGTATATGTACGTGCATTCAGGACCCTGCGGCGGTCAGAAGAGGGCATTGGATTCTCTTGTACTGGACTTATAGAGGGCTATGAGTCAGCCATATGGTTCTAGGAGCGGAACCCAGTTCTTCTGAAAGAACGTTAAGTCCTAAGCCATCTCTCCAGCCCTCCAGGTTTGCTTTCTTGACCTTGAATCCTCTATGAGAGTATTGGTTTTGTCGGGGAAAGGACTGTTGTCCTCAGCTGGACTCAGAGGGAGTTGTTCATTTGGCAAAAGCAAGGAGTGTTGTCAATGTTCCTGACCCTTGATCCTCAATCCATTTTTAGGAATACTCCCTGGACCTTAGGATTAGAGCACTAAGATGAAGTCCTTTCCCACATGGACTGCGCATTTTGGTGGGACACCATGGATCATGGAACATAGTTTTGTTTTTTCACCAGTAAGTCTTTGTGGGAAGAGGACTAGATGGAGATCTATGGTAGAAGCATTTCAAAAGGAGGCACCAGAGAGTCAGTGTGTAGTGTATTGTGAAGAGCCGTCTGATGCAAGGACAGTGATAAGAGAATCCATATGGTCTGTTGTGCAGATGACAGAGAACTGATAAAAATATCACCAGGATGAGAAGTCGTCCTGATGTGGTGAAATGGAGACTGCGGGTGCCCTCCAGGTGGGGACTGGATGAGCCAACATCAGGAGTGACAGGTAGGAAGAGGAGGGCCCAGAGGCTGTAGAGGTGTGATGTCTCTGAGCTATGGTCCTCAAGTGACTCAGTGGGCTCCAGGGGCATCCCTGCTGGTATTGTAGCTCTCCCCACTAAGGCAATGAATGCCCTTAGGGGTCTGAAAGGGTAGTGAGAGGGGAAGCAAAGGTAACCTAAAGTGAGGAAGTCATAGGACTAATGCTGGGGAGTTAGATGATGTGTCAACAAATGCTTGTTATACAGGAAGAAGAAAAAAGACTTGAGGTGTAGGAAATGAGATAAAAAATTTCCATGTCCTTAGGGGAAAGCCAGGTTTCCATCAGGATGGGGGGGGGGCTGTGGAAAAGAAGTGAAGCCATGAAGGACTGTGCCAGTGGAATATCTTATGGAACAATGGGGGCAGGTGGGACAAAGAAAGGTAGGAGACAGGCTCTTGTGGAGCGTTGGGAAGTTCCTCTAAGGAATAGATAGCATCCCAGTGGTTAGCCACTGGAATCTGGAAATGGTACATGGTCCTGCTAGTCCAAGGTGTCTTGTAGGAGGTAAGTAAGCCATTTGTGATAGTGTCCTTCTTGAAAGTGATCTCTTAGAGATGAGGCAGTAGTGAAATAGGAGTGGTGGATCTCCTGGGATCATGAAGAGCCCAATAAGCTTCTCCTTGATCCTCCTAAGGATGCTAGTAGCTTGGGCTGTATTCCCCTCAGCAGCTTGATGTGTCTGGTGGCTAACTGAATGTGTACCACGGAGAAGTCCAAGGCCCCATTCACATACCCTGGGGTCTATATACCTGCAGAGGACTGATGACCTGAAGCAAGTGACCTCCCCTTCTCATCTTGAAACCTTCTCAGTGTGGATTCTGGAACCAAGAAAGTTTCAACTTCAGAGAAAGGGGACAGTGTCAGCATCATTGCAAGGAAGGTAAGTGAACATCACTGCCCCACTCCAGCATGTTTCAAGAACACTTGTCCCCCACCTCACTAACACTCAGCATCCAATCTGCCTGCAGGTTGGTGGTTGGAAACCATAACCCTTGGAGAAATGGAAGGGGCCCTTTGTCTGTCTTGTCTCTGCTTTTCTGTGGTACTTGAAGAGAAGTTGTTCGTGGTGGATTCGCTTTACTTGTGACGAATCATTCACGGACAACACTTTTTTCAGTACCAAATGCTACCTCTAAGGATTTCCTGGACATGATGGCAGCTTGCAGAAAGATGGCGTTTCCGTCAAGCTTGTAGAGAAGCCAAGTATGGATGGTTGGCCACGGACAGTATGCTTGAGCTAGCTGTAAGTCACCTGGTCGGTTACCTGAGCATCTGACCCATCTGTAGGCCATGCCAGCCTTGGGGAGGCAGCTGTGGTTTTGCTACCAGCGTCACCTTACAAGACTTTGAAAAGAGGCCATCTTCCAGAAGAGATGTTGGTGCCAGCACCATTCAGGGTGTGTGACTGGTTGACCAGAGGGGCATGCACTCTGTTTACCCTGTGGGCCACCTAGTCACCAACCCTCAGCATCAATTCCTTTCTAAGAAGACTCTCCAGAGCCCCTGTCAAGTTTGGGGAAGTGTCAATGGACTTGATGGCTGTGCCTGCTCGGTGGACCAGGATGAACTGTGGTCTTAGGGGTGTATGTTTACATAAGATGCCATGAGGCATCCGTGGTAGCTGCTGCATCACTATCACAGCCTACTTGAAGTGTTGACTTCAGATGTGGACATGATGTTGACTTCCCATGAGGGACCTGAAGTCCCTTCTCTTCTGGGTGTGTGACTGAATTGTTCTTTGCTAAGCATGTACCTTACTTAGCTGGTGTAGCAATCAACTGATTTTCTAACCTAAATACCCTGTCTCTCTACAGAAGAGTCTGTGAGATGCCAACTTTGAGAAGCAGTCATAATAGTCCTGCCATCACCACACCACCATGGGAGCTTGGAGAATGGCGCCCCCTCTGATCCAGGAGGACTAACCGGATCCAAAGTAATCAGCATCCTCTTCAGGTAAGTGTGCCTCGGGTGAGCATGCACTTAATGTAGGTGTATGTCACTCGGCTCGGCCCACTACCCAATGTTGTCCCTCCCCTTCTTCACAGGACAGTGGATGCAGTCACCTTTTTGAGAGAGTCAATACGTTCTTCGCCGGTGTCCGTGTGTGGTACTTGAAGAGAGGCTGACTGTAATGAATTCAATCCATCTAAGCAAGTCATACACGGCTCTCCTCTCTTTTAGTGTCAAACTCTGCCTCAGAGGCTTCTTGAGCCAGTGCTGTTTCTAAGGTGGGTTTCTGGATGGCTGAACACGTGATGAGTGCCTCCCTCCAGCTGCATGCTTCACAGACAGTAGCCCCCAGGGTTCAAGCTAACCCTAAGATAACCCTAGGACACCTCGATTTCTTTTTAGAAAAGTCAGAGGGGCTGTTGGGGGATTCTATCTGTTTAAATATTGACTACACAGGCTAGCTTTTGTTTTTATTAGTACCTAACTCTACCATGGAGAGTCATCTAGAAGCAGTTTTTGTTAGTTAACTCTCAGGATATAGAATAGACTGGGAGCCGGGATTTTGTGTGACCCTATGCTGAATTATCAGCAGCCATTCTGTACCCTGAAGTGAAGTCTTTAAAATGGGGAGCACAGGTTCGTCTAACGACCCCAGGGCAACCTGTTTTGCAAATTTGTGGTTTGCTATGGGTACGGCTCCACCATCTTACTAAACATTGCATGACAAGCCAAGGGCAGAAAGTCACCTTCCTGTTGGCACTAATTTTGGGGTGATGAACCGGGGTTGGACAGACAGCATGGGTCTGATTGGGAATTGAGTCAACTGGCCCACTCATCCTCAGTGTCCTGTTTACTCTCAAAGGCTTCTCCCAAGCTGTGAAGATGATGCAGTGATACTGTGGTCCTCAGAGGGAGGTTGTCCCTCCTGGTCCTCAGAGGGAGGTTGTCCCTCCTGGTCCTCAGAGGGAGGTTGTCCAGGTGAGTTTGCACTTTTTTAATGATGCCCAATGCGTGCTCAATCTTTGCCACATCTCATCAGCTGTCTCCTTGAACCTGATGCCAATCTTGGGAAAGCCAAGTTCATGTTGGCTTTGTACCAGTGTCCTTGAATATGTGGTTGCCTCTGCAACTAGCAGACGGGTCCGCCAGTGTTCCTTACCTCCATCCAGGCCCTTCATGGAGGGTGTTGCCAGCACTGAGGGAGACACCTATGTTGTGGATTTAAAGGCATGGACATGGTGATGCCCATGATATCTCTGGGTTTTCATCTACTTGTAAAGAAAAGTGACAGATCCCACCCCTTCTTCCGCTAGCAAATACAGCGAGAACTTCTAGACATGTTGGGAAATTCAGGAATGGAGTCCAGGTGCCAACAATTTTGGGGGGTGGGGAGATAAGTTAGTGGATGATTTTTCCATGCCTATCAGCTGGGGTATCAGAAGATATCATTAAATGAGAACAATGGGAAGAAACACTTTCTGTTTCTTAATTTTCTTTGTGAAAAGAGTATTTACCCTACCTATTCCTAGTTATGAAAAAGATGCATGCTTGTGATAAAAATTCAAGCAATATAAAAAAATTAAATTAAAGAAATTACAAAAGTTTATACCCACGCATAAATAACTTTAAGAAATTTCAAGCTATATACACAAACGGAAAGGGAGGTGGAGAGAAAACTATTTCACATGGGTAATTCTGCCCTTTGTCTAAATCATTTCATTTAAAATATTTATTACAATTTCACTTGTGCTTAGCATAAAGAAACAACTGGAGGAGCTTGGAAGATTTGATAAATCTCTCCCTTTTGCTTTACAGCAATAGCTGCCATCTCCTGAAAGAGTCCAGCACCACTAAGAAGGGTGATATGAAAGCATTAAGTAGTGGGGACTCCGCTTCTCTGCCGCCCCTGACAGCTGCAGACATGGCCATGCTTCTACTCCGGCCACATGCTTCTCTAGGGTTATGCATTTTAATTTTTCTGTTGGAAAAAATCTGAACGTAAGTCTCACAAGTGTTTAAGAGCTCCGTTACTGACAGGTTAGTTAGGTATGGAATTCTCAGCCCACTTTAGAAGTTTCCTCTGAGATTGCGCAGTCTTCTCCACTATCTTCTATATTATTTTACTGCCTCTGTTGATGTGGCTTAAAAAAAACTTCTATTTGTCTAGATATCATGTAGTCGGTCCTCCTTTTCTTTGTAGTTCCAGAGATTGAACCCACGGCCCTCTGCATGCTAGACAAGCGTTTCCACCTGGCTACAGTAGAGTCCATTGCACTCTCAGTTCTGAGTATACTTTTGGGGAGAGATTTGGGACTTACTGTATTCTGTGAAGTCTTTTATCTCTAGGAATGTCCTCCTCATGTCTGTATAGTGTTTCCCATTTCTCCAAAACTTCATATTCTATTTGGTCTTGTGCCTGTGAGTTCCTTTCACCCTCTTTAGAAACCTGACAGGCATTTGGACACAGTTTCTTTCAGCTGTGTGTTTCGTACTGTTCTTTCGTTTGTTTTCATTTTAATCTCAAACTCTCTATGAGTTTGCTAACTTTTCATTGTCTGTCTATAATCAGCCCAGAACTGGAGAGTTTGGTTTTATTCTTTTCTTTTTTGGTGTAGTGGTCATAATACAGGGAGGGCAGATGGCTCAGTTGAGAAATTTCTTACCAAACGAACATGGGGATCAGAATTTGACTCCAGTACTGATTTAAAACAACAACACAACCAGGGTATGGCGATGTGCACCTGTTGCCCCAGCGCTGGTGGGGGCAGAGACAGAGTATGTGTTCTGGGGTGCTTAAGGCCAGCCAGTGTGACAGACTCCTGGAGCGAATTCCAGGTTCACTGAGAGACCCTATCTCAAGATTGAAAGTAAATAAATAAAGCAGAGAGCAATCGAGGCAGCTAATGGGCATGGATATCTGGCTTCTACACACATGTACATATCTCCCATGCATGCAGTACTGCCCCGCCTCCTACACACAGCTAGAACAGCCGTAGGTCCTGCCTGGTCCTTCAAGGGTTTCATTTACCCACACTATGTTCTCTGCTCCATTTTTTGGCTCAAGGGTTGTCATACTCCATGACTGGTATACATTCTCCCATCTTTGTCTTGGAACTTTGACATCCCACAGAAGAAATCACTGTACCTGTTGATGGACAGGGTGGAGCTCTCTCATTTCCCCGGAAGAGTTCTGGTCCAGGTGCACTTTGCTTGGGCCTATGCACACATTTCTTGCCTCTCCCTCTCCCTTCCTTCTTGCCCAGCTCCCTCCCTTTACTCCGTCCCTCTTCCCTTCCACCTTTTGCCTTTGAGGGCAGGCGAAAGCTTGTTGTTTTCAAGTTCTCTTCGGTAACACCCAAGGGACTTCCTTTCTTTAGCTGTACATTGCATACCCTTTCACTTGTAGCTTGTACTGTATACACTTACACTGTAGCCATGCATTACACACATTTTCACCTGTAGCTTGCATTATACACACTTATACTGTAGCCCTGCATTACATACATTTCACTTGTAGCTGTGCATTACACACTTACACTGTAGCCAGCATTACATACATTTCACTTGTACCCGTGCATTATACACACTTACACTGTAGCCATGCATTACACACATTTTCACTTGTAGCTTGCTTAATACACATTTACACTGTATTATGCATTACATACATTTCACTTGTAGCTGTGCATTATATACCAACCAACTTAAGCTGTGGCGGAATGTCTACTTAATGTTTTTACAGATTTTTGGAGGTTTCCCCCAAGCGGTCTTGTTTCCGGGTTAGCCCGTTGCCATTGTTTTTCCTCTATCAGTTTTATCTCAATTGTAATTTTTAATCCCTTCTTTATTAGAGTTAGTTGTATCATTTAAAAGGTACTGCTTTCTTCTGTTGTTGCTGTGAGTTTTTTCCTTGGCTTAAAGGATCCATGCTGCCCGTCCCATTGTTTAGTCAGTCCTATTATTTAGATGCTACCTGCTGCCATCATATTGCCATCCTCCCTGTTACCATCTGCATCACAAATTTGTATAGTTAGATGGATCAGAACCCTTACTCAGTGTCACCTTCTATCTTGGCAGGATGCCTAATTGCAATGCCAGCTTCTGGGATAGACACCGACGTAGGACCCACCATCATTGGGCAGGTACGCGAGCTTCTTGTCAATTTGTTTGTTTGTCTCACAACCTGGGGGGGGCATTCACTCAAAGTTACATCTATCTTTAGGAAGACACCCTCAAAGTTTGCTCAACATAGGGGATGAGGCCATGACACTCGGGTCAGAGTTGCACCGCGGTATAACGTAGCTGGCCTTCAGTGATGACACTGTTTTGAATAGCGGTGTTGTAGAGCTGGCCTCTCTGGGAGCTCTGCAGGGAATTCCTAGGCACAAGGCCTGTGTAAAGGAAGTGAGCATCACTCCCGTGTGCCTCAGTGCCAGTGTGAAGCTAGGGACCCTCCACTCCTGTGATGGGCACGATGACATCTGTGCACCCAGGACCTCCATCAGCAGGGCCCCCTTAGACACTGCATCCACAGCATTGGTGCCACGGCTAGATGGCTGTGGGCTCCGGGAGGAAAGGGTTGGATGTGGGGTGTGTGATATTATATCCTCAAGCCCTCGTGCAGTCAACGCACTAACCTGCTGTGTTCACTGTGCTCGGGGGGACTTCCTGGAGGAAGCCAGCTTCAGAGAAGAGATGCTGGTATTCACCTGCGGTGCTTGAAGATAGGTTATCCGTGTTGCCTTCGCTTTATTCGTGACGAATCATACACGGTTGACCTATTTTTCAGTACCAAATCCCGCCTTGGAGGAATTTCTGGGGTTGAACCTCACTTCAGGGTGGGACTTTGGTGTTAGCTCTTCTCCAGGGTAAGTGAAGGGGCCATTCACCACAGGCAGATACAGGAGCACACATGCTGTCCTCACCCAGTGTGTCCCTTGTTCCCTGGTGGACTCGTGGAGGTGGTACCTGCTTGGAATGAGGGGAAGTGTTCTATAGTCATTCAGTGTTTTCCCTTTGCAGATCACGTGTAGTTAGCCTTCTGTGGTATAACATGTGACTCTCAAGCACCCTAGGGAAGGTGAAGTTCAGAGCTAGGGATTCTGTTCACACATCTACACGGGCGTTCCCATCAGCCCTCTTGGCATGCCGTCACCTCTGGGCTCACTGGAAGAAGTGGCATTTCTGTCCCTCTGGATGTTGTTGTGATAAGAGGCCTTCTCCCTGCTCTCTAGGACACACCCTGTGTGGCCTTGGCAAACCCCTATGCAATAGAGCAATGGCTTCTGGATAGGGATACTAACCACATGCAGGAGACGAGAAATAGCTCCAGGCCATAGGGCATGTGTCCTATGACTAGAATGTGTAGCCATCTGCCTAACCCTTCGGCCTTAGGGATTCCCTCTTCAGGCCTGCTGCCTGGGACATGCCAACACAAGCTCCCGAAATCAAGTGTTCGAACGGAGGTTGTCCATGGTGTGTTCATTTTATTTATGATGAGTATTACATGGCCAATCTCCTTTCGGCACTAAAATCTTCCTGGGAGAGCTTCTCTTTGGGGGGGGAGGGTAGTTCTGTCAGTGTCTGGGCAGGGGAAGGAAGTGGAGTGTCCCCTGTACTGAGAACTTTTTTTTGCCCCTGGGATTTATGTCACCTGGTTGTCAAAGTAGGAGTGCCTAAAAATGACACCAACTATTTTAGGTGACTCTGGTTTTCTGGCCATTGTTATATAAAGAAGAGCACATTGGGTAGAACACTGTACTTAGGTGAGAAAGTCTGGGGTGGGTGGAGATAGCTGAATGCAAGGCATCCACCCATCCATCCATCCATCCATCCATTCATCCATTCATCCATCCACCCATCCATTCATTCATTCATCACTATTTCTTCATGTTCTAGTTCCCGGGGTGATCTCTAGGAAGTAGAACCAGCTATCAGACTGGAGTGTGGGAGGGCATCTCATGGTGACATTTAGTGGTGTTGGAATTCTGATGTCCTTCCTCTGACTCCAGTGTCCTTGTGAAGGAGAGGAATCGGCAGCATCCATTACTACCTGTTGCTTGCTAATGGTGTGACCTTGAATGAGTCAGCCTGTCATCTGTCTGTGCCTCAATTTGTCTGTGTGAGAGCGTTAATGGCTGCTTATAAGGTATGTAAACACACTGAATGTGTGCTCAGTACTTTGCCTGGCCTTCCTAGGGAAAGTTGGAAAACCACTGGATCTTTATAATGATGCTCGCTCGCTGCATAAATGTAGTTACCATGTGACTCTCTTCCCAACCTCTGCAGCGCAGGGTCACTGAGTTCAGAAGCCTCGTCTCTAGTGCCCTTAGGTGTGCTCGGTACGGATGATGTTGAATGAGTGGCAGTTTGATGTCTTTTCTTTGTCTAACCCCCTTTGTGGTCGCTCAGAAGCTGGAGAGAATGGAGGATGGTCCCAGAGCCTTGTACTCCCTGATGCTGTTGGTTTGTCTGTGGGGTCTTGCTGTCCTCTCAGGATGCTGCCTTGGAGAGGGAGTCACCCACTTTTAGGTCAGCCTCCATTGGTGGGTCGCATGGACCCTACCACACAGAGAAGTCATGGTTCCTTCTCTGGGAGACACATTTTGGGATTCAGATTTGGTATCCATGCACTTCTGGGTGAGTGACCAATTGCTGGCCAAAGCCTGAACCCATGATGCATTTATATAAGGCTCTTTCCACCTGTAGGCAGGACAGAGCTCTGCAAGCCAGTCTGTGAGAGGCTGTTTTGCAGTTGGACCTGGGGGCTCACTGGAGGTAACACCAGCCTCCGGAGCGGGTGGGAGTCAGGGAGCCAGAGCCGAGGGAGGCAGTGCTGCCTGGGGAAGAGGCGCCCTGCGCTGCTCTCGGCCTGTGCTGACGCTTGATTCTGGAGCAGAGGTTGCCCTTGGTGAATTCGCTTTATTGATGTTGAATCACACAAAGGCAACTTTTGTTTGAGTATCAAAGCCTTCTTGGGGTGGTTTTGGGGATGAGGTGCAATGCTCTGGGTCTCCGTGTGTGGCATGTGTTAGAATGGATGATGGAGATGTGGTGTGGACAGGCAAGGTGTGGATCAGAGAACATGGTGTGACCAGATGTGGGGTCTCTGGGACCCATGAAGACATGCAGTGTCTGCTCGGCAGCGATTTGTCACACTGGCACTTAGCCCTGAGGTCGCAGACATGGCGACTACTCTACTCTGAAGACACCTTGACCAAAAGGGCTTTCACTTGACTGTGTCAGGGACAATGGCAGCCTTACCTTCTCTCTGTTCTTCTTCCCAACTCTCTAGGTCAGGAGCTCTTACATTCCATCCATTTCCTCCCCAACACCTCATCCTACTCTGTGTGCTTCTCCCTCTCCCCTATTTCTTGCCAAACCTTGTTCTCCATTTTTGGATGGGTTAGGAAGTGAATAGAGACAACCAGCATTTCATCCCTTTTACATTAAATAATAGTGATAAAATAATCACAAAACAACCCCACAAGCTACCAGAACGGCTCAGTGGAAAATGTGTTCAATTGACTACAAATTGGCAGAAGAATCCAATTTTCTTGATAACATTTCAGCTACGACATTTGACCTGGGGAAACAGTACCCTGTAGACACAGCAGCCATAAGAGGCAGGCTGCGATAGTGGCGGCGGCTGTGAGCAGTAATATTTGTGAGGCGAGCGCACATCGAGGAATTAGATCTTCCTGCAGATTTTTAAATGGGAAAGAATTGATCCTAATGAAAATGATTTGAGAAAATAACAAGGGAAATAAAAGAAATGAGAATGGCTCAAAAGCACAGTCAAGGAAGCTAAACAGAGAATTGGATTAGTTTAATGGAATTTACCCCCCCCAAAAAAAACAAAAGCATTTTTAATGAAAATCAATGCGGGTGCAGTTTTTTGGTCAGATGGGTAAATCCATGTGCTTAGACTGGAGCCAGCGGGGCCAGTAGGAAGATCTGGTCCCAATGCAGGTCCCTTGTGTGGCTAAACTTTATTTTCTGTCCCCAAGCTTGACAGAGTGCTTCCTCGACCAATGTGCTGACTCCAGTGGTAACAAGCTGGCGAGGGTCCTCTGGAGGGTGTGAATGGGGACCAGTGCCGGAGCGTGTACCCTACGAGCAGTCCTCTTCAGTTTCCTTTCGCCTCAAAGGACATTCCAGGTAAGACTCTGGCTCCGTGGTTGGTGGGGTCTGCTTCTCCTGAGCAGTTGGTACCTGGAACATTCTAGGGGCTACCTTCCTTTGGGTTCCCATGTTGCCAGCTCCCGGTGTTAGCTTTTAAGCTATTTCTATTGGTGATTCCTATGTTCTGGAGGCTAGCCCCATATGGGAGGTCATCATAAGAGTTGATGGATCCAGGATCTAATGTACCACCTGGAGTGCAAGAAGGCTCGTTGTTTTCTGGCCCACTCTAGAGGTGACCAGGTTTCTTGGTGGCTCTTTCCAGAAGGATCTTTACGTCGAAGGACCACAGAGGCTACACCATTGTCTTGGAGCTAGTCGGTGGCTGGAGCCCTCTCCAGGACAGGTGCTTGGAGGAAGAACCTGGACAGTTCTAAGCATGCTTGCTGACTGGACCTTGGATCTCCACGAGCTATCATTATTGCCACTGTGTGGTTCTTAGGAACATTTCCAAGAGATGATGCCAGCTCAGAGAAGAGCCTCTGCTCCACAGGTCAGTTTCTAGAACACCTAGATGAAGCTGCCCGTGATGTCTTATGATGGACTGCATGCGGCTGGCCAATTGCTATGCTTCTAGGAATTTCCAAGGGCTGGAAGTCCACCCCCATGCCACCCAAGCCTAGAATTCCACAGATCAGGGCACCTACGACCAAGTGCCGTAAAGGGAATGCTCATTCCCCATGGCCTCCACTGCATTCCACTCCCAGGATGCCCACCTTCTAAAGGTTCCCTGTGGTCACTCATCGGGTCCTGGCCCTCATGGGCTAGCCCTCTCCTGTGGCATGCTTGCATGGGTCCTTCAGATGAGCTGTTCTATAGTGTGTGAAGAGATACCATTCAGTGTGTGCTAGAACTGTTCCTCCTCTCCTCCCTCCGTGTTTGTCACTGACATTTTAATTGCTTTGTTATGCTCTGAATGCTCCAGCAGCTCTTACTGAAACTTCTTAAACCACCTGTGAGGGATGCCAGGGTGGGGGTGCTTGTTTGTGTGTGGGGGGATGGGCACAGGGTAGTTGGGCCCAAAGAGGAGCTTCTCTGGGTGTGGATATCATTGCCTCCTTGCTCCTTCTGGAAGACATCCTCACTGAGAGGGTGGAAGCTGTGCAAGCAGGGCCTCAGGACTTCCCCATCTCCAGGGCTGGCAAGGGAGAGTTGGGAGTGAGCAGAGTTCTGTGTTCACTTCATGCACTGTGCTCGCTTCCCCTGCTCAGTGTCAGCCTCTGTCTGCTTGGGCCCGAAGTCGACTTCGTGGAGCTGTGGGGGGGCACTCCAGGTATTCATTCTGAGGAGATGAGAGGATGGTAGGCACACTGGGGAGGGATGGGATAGTCGCTCTCAGGTAGTGGAGCAGTTCTGGCTGAATGGGGAGGTACCAACTCTGAGGGGCTCCGAGGATGAGTCTCCTGGGAACACAGCCACCTTGAAGCATCGGCCTTGGTCTGAGCGTCCAGCCTCTCCTTGGTACTCGGAGAGAGGTTACCCGAGCAACTTTGCATCTGGAGGACGAATGTTGCTCGGTGAACCCCTTTTCGGTATCAAATCCCTCCAGGGAGGCCGAATGGAGGCCCCGGCACCTCGGGGAAGAACATGGAATCGTCTTGCTCTGGGGTATGGGACGGATGGTCGACCAGCTGGAAAGTAATTGTTTCTAATGTACTTCACCTGGTCCACTAGCCGTCGGTGCCCGCTGCAGCCGCGTCCAGGATGCCACTACCTCAGCACCTCTGCTGGTACTTGAAGGGAGATCGACCGTGTTATATTCGCTTGGCTGACTTCGAATAATACATGGTTGATCTTTTCTCGGTATCAACGCTCAGCTTGGAGAAGCTCTTGGAGTTGCAGCCCCCCTTGGGGGTGGGGATGGGGTGGTGCTTCTAGGTTGCTGCCTCGGCGGGGACCTGGGCCGGGTGGGTCAGGCTGTGTGCTCTCTGTGTCGAACTCTTCTCACCATTCATGTCTACCCCACCCCCTTCCTCAGGACAGGTTCAGGAGGTGATGCGAACCCCATGGATGCAGCAGTCAACACTGGGTACTTGAGGAGAGGTTGTCTGTGATGAGTTCGCTTTATTAATGACGAATATAACACAGATGGCCTGTTTTCAATACCACCTGTCACTCCTGTTACTCGGCAGTGTATATATACCAGGTGCCACAACACTGATCGGTAGGTGAATGCATGGACTCTGTATGACACTTGTCACCCTCTTCACCGAGCCTCAGCTTCACATCCATCCTGAGGAGCTTCCTGGGATCACACCAACAAAGCACTGGCCTGGTGTGCGATGGATGACCGGAATCTCACCATGCCTCTTGCCACAGGAGTGGGTGTTTGTCCCTATCTACGGCATTATACTGAGGGCTGCATGCCTGCATGCCCTGCACCTGGAGTGCCTCCTAATACCACGAGCGCTTAGAGAAATGGCATAATACTTGGGAAAGAACCAGGCCAGCTGGCTGCACAAATAGCCCATGATGGGTTTCCATTCCTCGTGATGGTGCGATCCATGCTCACCTCTCTTTAGTGTAGGATCTCACCTTTGTGAGTCTGGGTGTCAGAGGAGGGACACTCTTTCCTGGCCCTCTAGACACAGCTTGATGGTCAGGCATGTATCTGCTACTCCTGAGTCAGAGCATCACATCGCCCCAGTGGAGGCTGGGAAGCCCATCTTAGAGGAAGAGGCATCCTATGGAGCATTCACGCTGCTTGGTGATACCTGAAACAGGTGTCTCTGAGATGTCTGCTCTTCCTTGAGTTACATCCTACCCTGGACCACTTCTGCTGTGAGGTGCTGACGCCAGGTGCAGAAGCCTTTGTGTTGATTGACCATAGTCTGTGTGTGAGGCTGTGGCCTGGACCTTCCCAGTTCCACTCTGTTGGAAACAGCACAGAATGTCTGTCCCCTTGAGTGTAGGAGGCAGTGATACCCCAGGTGTCTCCCTAGCTGAAGCAGACATAGACAGGGTTTGGCCTGTCCTTAGCTCATGCTTTCTCCGTCTTCGCACTCTGGCTCTGTCAGGCTCCTGAGAGCTTGCCATAGAGGCTTGACCTGGAGACTGGGGCACCTCAGAAAGAGGCTGGGCGTGCCTTTGAGATACAGGATATAGGCGTTTGGCGTTTAGTGAAGACATCCGGGGAGGCAAAGTTCTCTCTGAGTAGGCTTTCTTCGCCTCACCAGTACAAGCCTCACCCTCACTTGGTGGCTCCGCCCTGTGGGCTTCTCTCCTCTTCTGGGCCTCCTCGGCAACAAAATCCTCTGTGCCCACCGAGGGCAGTATCTCCCTCCCCTCTACATCGCCGCTTCCCCACAGTCCTGCCCAAAGGCTGGCTGTCCACTCTCACTTGGACCTGACATGGGGTCTCTCTTCATTCTCTTCCTCTTGCTCAGAAGGCCCGCCCATGCCCCTCCCTCTGGGAGCCGGTCGTGGTTGCCCTTCCCTACGTAGTCTTCCTCAGCCTGCGCGCTTGCACGCCCCTTTCACGGGAATCCAGGGTTCCAAGGGGGTTGGCATGCCCCTTGCTCAGCAGTCCCATGGAAAGCAGGCTGGCAACAGCTATCCAGCTCCTTCCTTCCCCATGCACTGTCTGTCAATCTGCTTGTTAGCTGCTCCTCCCAAGCTACCTGCTGTCCCAAACTGCCCAGCACTGTCTTCAGGTCTCCAGGCTCTCCAGTGCCCCCTCCCCAAGCTGTAAGGCACGGTCAGACCTTTGCATTTTTCTTTTTCCTTCCCTCCCTTCCTCCCTCCTCTCCCTCCCTCCCCTCTCACTTCCTTGACTTATCCTCTGTTGTATTCTAAGCCTTAGGATTCAGGCCAGGTCTATAGTGACAGAATAATGAAGCGTGCTGATTGACTAATAGAGTCCCCATAGGCAGAAACCATATTAGGTTAATCCCCAGGAAAGTGGTGAGCATGAAGCCGGAATTCCATAAGATGTGGTGGCTGATTCCATAAATATGGAAGCTGGGTTTTGCATAGCCTTTGCATTTGTTAGAAGCTGTTTGGTTTTCCAGTCCCCCAACCTCCCACCCTACCCCCCAGAATATCACTCTTCTGAGACTTGCTGCAATAGGGGGCAGACAGGCCAGCGAAGTCTATAGGCTTTTCTTGTAGCTGGGCCCCCCATGCTAGGCTGCAGATCCAGCTAGGCACAACCCCCACACCCCACCCCATGAATGCCTCTGTGGCGGTGAGCCAGAGGCCCTGTGGAGTCCCTTGTGCAGCAGGCCTGATCTGCTGTCAGGGCTAATATTTTATGCATGGACCTGAGTAAATGGGAACATTTGGAAATGGAAATTGCTGTTAATGACACATCTTTGGAATATATTAAATGTGTGCGAGGCCGCTGCTGGTCTCCCAGTTTAATTGCTCCAATGTAAGCGCAGCCATGCCACAGCATCAGCAGGAAGGCCACCCCACGCCCCTTCCCCACTGATGGGGAAAGCCCCAGGTACCTCACCCACCATGCAAGTACCATGCAGGAAACGGAATGTCAGCTGGGATGCCAAGCAATCCGCAGCATGCCCCTTGCAGATTCGCTGCAGACCCAAAGATGATGGCCCCTCCCACTTGATGCAGACTTTCTTTTATTAAAAGTAAAATTACTAGGTTTATCTATTGTTTGAGGAGAAGAAAAGACAAATAAAGGGCTTTTCTCATCCAGTGAGTAGAGTGACAATGTCTGTCCCCCAAGCAGGCAGGCAGGCAGGAAGTCCCTGGGGGCACTTCAGGGTTCAGAGAATTCACTATCTCCAGGATAGTGAGTAAACTTGGTGTACCAAGGTCACAGGGCACAGGCTGTTTCTCCACGCCTGGCAGATCTTAGAGTCAGTTTGCACATCCCATAGTTTCTTCTGGATGTGATGGGGCGGAGCCGGTGGTGCAGCCCTTTACTGTCTTTAAGGAGAGAGTGAGTGTGTGTGTGTGGGGGGGTGGTTAGTACTCTGTCCTCAGTATCTGTGACCCATGAGGAAAGCAGGTTATATTTTACAAAGAGGAATTTGCTGGGACCCAGAGAGGCTGAGTGACTTTCCAAGGTCACCCATCTGGAGACAGGGCTCCGGGCTATGTGTTTTTAACATTTCTGCTTATGCTGGCCCATATCCTTCTAAAAATGACCCCTTGTGCCATAGATGACAGACAACTCGTTGAGTTGGTCTCCACAACTTTCTGTACAATGAGGCAAGCTCACTTTTCCCAAGACATTGCTTGCCAGGACTGTCAGGCTTTTCTGTGTCCCCTTTTGATTCACCTGGTTCCTTTCTTATTCATGTCTGGCTTGAGATGGGGCTGCCTATTCCATCAGAAAACCCAGGGCACTGCCGATGCTAAATATCAGGACTGAATTGGCTGTTGTTTGCTTCTGCTTACTGGAGGCTTGCGTTAGCTGTCTCTGTCATTGTGTGTGTGTGCGTGTGTGTACATGCATGCGTTGAGCCTGCTGTATCTTGTCAGAGGCTGGAGAGCTGCATGGACCAGCTACATACCTCTTGGCTTGTGTTCTGGGTAGACTAGAACAGTTCCAAAGGTGTCATTCCTTATATAAGGTCCTCAGGGACTGACTGAGTCCCCTGAGTCTGGCCCTTTCCTGGCTAATATCTCTTATCACATCTTTGAGCAGCTAAGGACTCAGGACTGTAGGGTCCTGTCCCTACGGGGTGGGGACTTGGAGTTAGATCCACATCTAGTGAGTCAGTAGTGTTTCTTTGCCAAGATTTGAAGGGCTTTGGGAACCTCTGTCCCCTTAGGGCTGGCTCATAGTAGATGCTCAGAAAATACCTGTCTTCCTGGGATCACATGGGCTTAGATGCTGACACCAGGAGGTGATGGATCGACAGCTGTGAGGAAGCTCACAGGGGGCACTCAGACAGTGTTTGTGAAATGAATAAATAAAAATACACCTTTTTGAAGAAATTAAGAAACGAGGAATGGCAAAAACAGTCAAGGAAGACAACATAAATCTCCAGCAGTGTTACCAATGCTACAGCCGGGGTTGCTGAAAAGACCCTGCGGAGGTGGTGGGACCATTTGTCATGGGCGAGGACAGGCTGGTGGGCTGGGACATGGGGCCTGATGGAAGCTCGTCCATCATTTTCTCATTATCCCAGCGACGCGGAGGGCAGCTAGCGGATCACAGAACAACAGCCTCCGAATGAAGGTGGCAGGGTTGGGAGTGCGAGGGACCCCGAGGGAGGGCAGGCTGCCCCAGGCCCTGCCCCCTCCAGGAAGCCTTCTTGCTCCAGCCCAACTCACGATCTCACTTGCCCTCGGATGTTCATCATGTGATCCTTTATCGACGCTGCTATGGAGGGGCCTTTGGGAACTTGTTTGCATGTGCGCCTGTACTTGCCCAGCTGGCATACAGAGAAGGCTCTGTGAATGCTCGTTGGCCTTGTCTTTCCATTGTAGGCAGGTGACGCTGCATTGGTCCCCAGGAGTAGATGATGTTCAGGAGCTCCACCTACGTTCCATCCGCACTACTAGTCCTAGGTTGGGACAGTCCCATTGGGTATGCCCATGGGACAGCTATGGCGATGAACAAGCCCTGAGGCCTGACCTGAAGCCAGCTGTGGGCCCGGTAAGTGGCTGCCCCTCAGGACTTATACTTGGTTCCTGTAGGGCTTGGAACAAGGATGGGGTTTTCCCAGGGCACAAGGGGCCCAGAAGTTGTGTAGAAGATGCACAGAATGGGATTGGAGGCACACATCCCAGCCCTGCATCCCCCTACCCCACCCCACCCCGATCCTGCCATCTGCGACAGCTTCGTTTTCTCTAACACTCAAAAATACATGGTTCTGCTACGCTCTCCTTGGCAGGCAGGGTAGCCAGAGCTGCAGGGCTGCCAAGGCCTGGGGGAGCCGCCAGCCTGCAAAGTTTACTGTACAAACAGTTGGGGGGGGGCGTCTCTGTTAACTCGAAATCCCCATCAGTAAACATGCCAGTTTAAAGTGTAATTAACTCAGGCCGGAAAAGAATTCTGATTTGGACTGCTTTTCACAGTTGAGATTGTTTTTCTTTTATTTATTTATCTCTTTCCGGGTGTGGTGGTGTCTGTGGTGGGTTTTAGCCAGGAAAAATAGAAAGGGGGAGGGCATGGTGGGATGAGCCAACAGGGAGAGAGAATGTGGGAAGACAAGGACAAGGGGGATGGGCTTGGCCACCTGTACAAGCCCAGGATAACCATCTGCTCTCTGCCCTGGCTGGTGGCTCCTTGCAGATAGAGACTAAGCTAGAATGCATACCAAGGCCACTTAGTGAGGGAGGGACACAGGTCTCTGTGCTGGCTGGCCAGGTGGCTCAGGGCTTATGGGGTGCTGGCATGACCCAGAGAACCCTGAAGTCCCTTCTGATGCCTTCTTTGCTTCCGTCTTACAGGAGCTGCTCAGGCCTTCTCCTCCCTGCATCTCCTGCTTAAGACAATGAAGATGTCTGACTGGAGAAGATGCCCCTCTGAGAAGACCAGGACCATCCAGGACCCAGGGGGACCCAGTACCCCCGCCAAACCCTGTGCCATCCTCCTCTGAGCCCCCCCATGTCCCCTGCTTCTTACTCTTGAGCCCCGCCCCCAGCCTTGCATTTCAGATCTCAGCAGGACCTGAGCAGCCCTTGCTTAGGAAGCCCAGGTGGGGGGAGTGAGTAGGCAGACACAGGGGGCTGGGCAGAAGAAAAGATCTCTGCTCTTGGCTTTTGAAGCCTCAATGTGTGGAGCCCTTTGAATAATAAACATGTATCATAAAATGTAAACATGCCTACGTGTCTGTGTTCAGAGGGGCTTTCGTTAATTGGGGATGGGGGTTAGCAGCATGGTCTGGACTGCTTCAGGAGGGACCTCCTGGGATGTCTCTGGCCTCTGTCCTGGAAGCACTTTGCTGAAAGCAACATCCCAAGCAGGGGTCCACAAATGGACTTCTGACCCCCGTGTGCCAGCCCCAAAGTCTGACTAAGGAAAAGGTATCCTTTCCTATCATTCTGGGGTCTCACATGAACCCCCATTCCAGCTCCTTCTGCGTAAGCTGAGCCCCCAGGGGCAGAGGCCAGATTCCAGATCCAGCCTGTGCCCACGCGCCTCTTATTGCTGTGCCTCAGCTTGGTCACGACTCAGCCGGGCTGACTCAGACCGAGCCCGAGCCCGGAGACTCATAAATTACATAATTACCCATGAAACCTGCCGCCACCGCTCTCTCCAGCCGGAGGGACACGCTCCGCTCAGGCTCTGGCCGGCGGTGACTCACTGTTTTCCCCAGAGCCTCTGCCCGCCCACCCACACAGCCACCTCATCTGGGCTGCTGGGCAGGAGAAGGGGGGAGCCTGGCCTCACACCCCCCCTCCCGTTCCCCCTCTTCCTGCTGTCAAGACAAAGGCAGACAGACCCCCTCCTGCTGAGGCTTTGGTGGGGGCACCTGCCCCTGCAGCGTCTCTCGACAGCCCCCTGGTGGCACTTCTCATAGATGGCTCTATGTGACACAGGAGGAAACTGAGGCTTAGGGAGGCAGGCTTGTCTCTTGTCCCCCCTGTAGGGTGGCTTTGATTACAGCTGGTCAGGGCAGCAGAGAAAACTGTGAAGTCTCCAGCTACCCATACCTGCCTTAAGACTTTCAGCCCCTTCCCCACAGTCCCTAAGAGCCCCTTTGGGAAACACTCTTCAAAAGTGACCATGCCAGGTGGCAGAAGAAAAAGCGTCATCAGTGTTTTTCATGCAAGCATGAAGATCTGAGCTCAGGGCCCCAGCACCCATGCAAAACGCCAGTCGCAGCAGTGTTAACCTGGGCAGTGACTGTCCATAACTCAACATGCTGGGAAGGCAAGGACAGAGGGGTCTCTGAGCTCACTGACCAGCCAGCTTAGCCAAATTAGGTTGCGTGAAAGAAATGCCACAAAAATAAACAAAAAGAGTGGAGAGCCATTCGATAACATGGCTAAGGGTAAAAGTACCTGGCAGCTAAGCCACAATTTGATTCTCTGGACTCAGAGAACAGATTCTAGCACATTGTCCTCTGGTCTCCTCCACATACATGCTTTGACATACATGTATACATACATGCACACAAAATAAATAAACAAATGCAAAAATGCTTTTACAACATGGAGGGTCACAGAAGACACCCCATGTCAACCTCTGGCTTCCATGTGCATGCACATGCATGCACAAACACACAATTAGACAATAAAATGGTGTCTGCAGCTGGAGAGATGGCTCAATGTTCACAAGCACTACTTACCTCAGAAGACCCAGGTTCAATTCCCAGCACCCACATGAAATAAAAGTAAATAAATCGTTTGGAAAATGACTGAATTCATGAATAAATAAATGAAAGGGTGTGTGATGGTATAGTCTATGTTGCAAAACCTGCCCGTGTCACTGACTAATAGTAACTGTGGCTTTCTCATTTCTCAGCCTCAGTTTCCTTAGCTACAAAATAGGTTCAAGCTCACAGGCTGCAAAAGTAGGAAAAGGGGCGGGGCTAGCAATGCGTTGGGCTCTTTTGAACTGGGAGTTACCTCCAAGGCTCTCCCTTTAAAGCTCTCATTGAGTTGAGGATTTCCCCCAAGGCTCTGATTGAGTTAGGAGCTCCCTCTAAGGCTCTCATGGAGTTGGGAGCTTCCTCCATGGCTCTCATTGAGTGAGGGGATACCTCTGAGGCTCTCATTGAGTCAGGGACTTTCCCCAAGGATCTCATTGGGTAGAGGGCTCCCTATAAAGCTCTCAGTAAGTTTGGGGAACCCTCTAAGGCTCTCATTGAGTAGGGGGCTCCCAATAAGGCTATCATTGAATTGGGTACTACATCCAAGGCTTTCATTGACTTGGGGGCTCTCTCCAAGGCTATCATTGAGATAGGGTCCCCTCCAAGTCTCTCATTGACCTTAGGGAACCCTCTAAGACTCTCATTGAGTAGGGGGTTCCCAAATAGGCTATCATTGAGTTGGAGACTCTCTACAAGGCTTTTACAGAGTTGGGGGCTCCCTCTAAGTCTTTTGCTGAGTTTGGGGCTCCCTCTAAGGCTATCATTGAGTTGAAGGCTCCCTCCAAGGATATCACTAAGTTAGAGGCCCCTCCAAGTCTCTCATTAAGCTGGTGGCTCCCTCCAAGGCTCTAATTGAGTTGGGTGCTCCCTCAAGGCTGTCATTAAGTTGGAGGCTACCTCCATGATTCTCATTGAGTTGTGGACTCTCTCCATGACTCTGTTGAGTTGGGGAATCCCTCCAAGGATCTCACTGAGTTGAGAGCTCTCTGATAGACTCTAATTCAGTTGTGGACTCCTAAGGCTCTTATTGAGTAGGGGACTCCCTACATGCCTCTCATTGAGTTAGGGGCTGTTTCTAAGGCTCTTGTTGATTTGGGAACTGCCTCCAAGGTTCTCATGGAGTTAGGAATTCCCTCCAAGGCTCTCATTGAATTGGAGGCTCCCTCAAAGGCTGTCATTGACTTGGGAGCTACCTCCATAGCTCTCATTGAATAAGAGGTCCTACCTGATGCTCTCATTGAGTTGAAAGCTCCCTGTAAGTCTTTCATTGAGTTAGGAGGCTCCCTCTAAGGTTCCCATTGAGTTCTAAGGCTCTCATTGAGTAGGGGACTCCCAATAAGGCTATCATTGAGTTGGGAACTCCATCCAAGGTAATAATGAGTTGGGGGCTCACTATAAGGTTCTTTCTGAGTTAGGAGCTCTCTCAAAGACTCTCATTAAGTTGGGGACACTCTCCAAGGCTTTTACAGAGATGATACTCCCTCTGAGGCTCTCACTGAGTTGGTGACTACCTACAAGGCTTTCATTGAGTTGGGGGATCAATCCACAGCTCTGATGGAGTTAGGGGATCCCTTTATGACTCTCATTGAGTCACCTGGCTCCCTCCAAGTCTCTCATTGAGTTGGGGGCTCCCTCTAAGACTCTCATTGAGTTGAGGTCCCCCTACAGTCTCTTACTGAGTTGGGGACTCCATCCAAGGCTTTCATTGAGTTGGGGCTCTCTCCAAGGCTCTCGCTGAGTTGGAGGCCCCCTATAGACTCTCATTGATTTGGGCACTCCTGCCAATGCTCTCATTGAGTTGAGGGATCAATCCACAGCTCTGATGGAGTTAGGGGATCCCTTTATGACTCTCATTGAGTCACCTGGCTCCCTCCAAGTCTCTCATTGAGTTGAGGTCCCCCTACAGTCTCTCACTGAGTTGGGGGACTCCATCCAAGGCTTTCATTGAGTTGGGGCTCTCTCCAAGGCTCTCGCTGAGTTGGAGACCCCCTATAGACTCTCATTGATTTGGGCACTCCTGCCAATGCTCTCATTGAGTTGGGGGTTCCAACCAAGGTTGTTCATCTAGGGGCCCCGTACACACTCTCACTGAATTAGGCACTCCCTTCAAGGCTGTATTTGAGTTGAGGACTCCCTCCAAGGTTCTAACTGAGTTGGGAGTTCCCTCAAAGGCTGTCATTGAGTTGGGGGCTATCTCTATGGCTCTCATTGTGTTGTGGGCTCCCTCCACAACTCCCACTGAGTTGGGGAATTCCTCTAAGGGTCTCACTGAGTTGGGGGCTTGCTGAAAAGTTCTCATTCAGTTGAGGGCTCCCTCTAAGGCTCTTTTGGGGTAAGGAACTCCTTCCATGCCTCTCATTGAGTTTGGGGCTCTTGCTAAGCCTCTTGTTTAGTTGGGGGCTTCCTCGAAGACTCTCATTGAGTTAGGACTTCCTTCAAGGATCTTATTGAGTAGGGGATTCCCTCCAGGCCTATCATTGAGTTGAGGGATCCTGCTAAGCATCTCATTGAGTCAGGGCTCCCAATAAGTTTATCATGTTTTGGTGGCTCCCTCTATGGCTCTCATTTAGTTGGCAGCTCCCTGCATGGCTTTTGTTGAGTTGGTATTTCCTTCAAGGCTCTCATTCAATTTGGGTTCTTTCTCCATGGTTTTTACTGAGTTGGGAACTTTTTCTAAACTCTCATTGAGTTGGGGCTCCCAATAAGGCTCTCATTGAGCTAGGGATTCCCTCTCAGGCTCTTACTCAGTTTAGGGTTCCCTTTAAGGCTCTCATTTAGTTTGGGGCTCCCTCTATGAATCTCATTGAGTTTGGGGCTCCCTCGGAGGCTCCCATTGAGTAGAGTTGTGGACTCCTTCCAAGGCTCTCATTGAGTTGCAGGTCCCCTCTGTGGATCTCACTGAGTCAGGCTCTCCTAAGGCACACATTGAGTAGGGACTCCCTCTGAGGCTCTTCATTGAGTTTGGGGCTCCCTCCAGGGCTCTCAGGGAATTTGAAGTTTCCTCTAAGGCTCTTATTAGATTGAAGGCTCCATCTAAGGTTCTCATTTGGATCAGGGTCTCCCTCTAAGGCTATCACTGAGTTATGGGGTTCCCTCCAAGGTTTTCATTAAGTAGGGGCTCCCAGCAAGGCTGTAATGTGTTGGGGGCTCCCTCTAAGGTTCTCATATGGGTTGGAGAATTCCTCTCAGACTCCTGTTGATTTTTGGGACTCCCTCTAAGGTTCTCATTGCCTAGGAGGGCCTTCCAAGGATTTTACTGAGTTTGGGGTTCCCTCTAAAGCTCTTTTGGATTGGGGTTCCCTCTAAGACTATTATTGAGTTGGGGCTCCCTCAAGACTTTTACTGAGTTGGGGCCTCTCCCTGAGGCTCTCATTATGTTGGGAGAATCCCTCTAAAGTTCTCATTGAGTTAGGAGTTCCCTCCAAGGCTCTTCTTAATCTGGAGGCTCCCTCTAATGCTCTCATTGAGTTGGGGGCTCTTTCCAAGGATTTTACTGAGTTG